AAAAAAAACGGAAAGGAGAACAGGACAAGGCAGGACAGGGAGCTGGGACACCGGCGCTGCAGCACCCTTGGTTTTACTTGCTGCAAGAGTATGTGTCCACCCTGCCCCAGCCTTCCCCAGAACACCGCAATGCCAGGTCTCTTGTATTGAGGAAATATTATATATTATATTATTATATTTAAAACAGATGACCAGCCTCATCAGGGCTGTATCAGCCCGCAAGCAGCTCTCCGGGACACTAGAGACTCTGCCCTGTCACCGCTGGGTGCTCAGGACAGTCTTGCAAGGCTCAGATCCAGCTCCCAGCCCACAACCTGCTGATGTGCTGGGGCTTGGAGCAGCAGGGAGGCTTCACACAAGGAGGAACTGGATTGTTTCCTGGTGGGCAGCACCTTGCAGACGACCGTCTATCCCTCCTCGTTCACAGCCCTCAAACCACCACCCAGGAACCTGCCACAGGATTCCACGCTGATGGAAACAGCAGTGCACAGACCCAGAAACGGGAACATCCAGGTACCCCAAAGCTCCATCTGCACAGTCCCAAGCCAAAGGGGCTGGGCACAGAGAGGGAGGAAACCTGGAAAGGCTGTTTGGTCACTGGAAAAGCTGCCTTTTGCCCCAGAGTTTGGCTTAGCCTCCGGTAGGGGCTTCGGTTTGATTCAGATGAACTTGCACTGGCAAAACTGCCTGAACCTGTAGACAAAGCAACAGAAGGGACACACAGAGCGAGCAGGGAAGGAAGCAGGGAGGGTCTCCGGACAGCACAATCCATCACTGCCAACAGACACCTATTGTACCACTGCCATAAATCACAGGTCCTCTGAGTGTCAGAGGAGAGACAAATAACGACCCAGCGTCATTCTCTGGCATTCTCCAAAGGCCCCCAGCCAAGGAGCACGGCTCCGTTTGGGCTGCTGGCCCCGCAAAGTGCTCAGCCCTAACCTTGGCAACCTGCACGGGCCTTAAGAAGGCACCCAGCCAATGCCAACCGCTGTTTGCTCTGCTTCCTAAGGCAGAGCCAGCGAAGGCCCAGCAGGGTTTTCTGCTGGCAGCTCCCACACAAAGCTGCTGCCTCGTAGTGGAAAGGGGCCAGGTACCTCCTTATCCTTTCTCCACACAGCACGGCACAGAGGCACGAGTCAGGACGTGAGCTGTACGATACGCAGCTCAGCAACCAGCAGAGCAGAAAAGGCCAAGGGCTGAAACCACTCGGGCTGAGAGAGTCACTTTCCTGCTCATGGAAGCACCCAGCTCCATCCCCACAGACACTGCTGGAGCCTCCTGTACCCAGGGGTCTGCAGAGCACAGGGGAAGAGGGACCTGGCACACCCACGGGTGAGAGTTGTGGTCCCAGCTGAGCAGCCCTCCTGCTGCTCAGCTTTTTGGCAGAGATGCCTGAGAGCCCAGCAGGCTCCATCACCTCCCACTGCCTCCAGCCACGGGAATCCAGAGTTCAGGGTGGGGTACAGAGGAGGCTCCAGACAAAAGCATCATTTATTCTTTAATTGCTGCTTGTTTGTTGAGCACAACGCAGAGGATGCACAAGCAGTGCAGGACATTTCGACGTCCTACCTGTGGGACAGGCAGAGCGAGAGCACCAGGGGCTCCCACAACCTCTGGTTCCCCAGTAGGTACAACTTTTCTCACCATACTCCTGGATTTGAGCGCAGGGGAAAGACGGATCCCTGCTTCCCAGCGAGGCTGACAACGTCAGAGGTCTGAGATACGAGTGGAAGATGCAGCCTGGTGATACTGGTTTAGACCCTGCAAGTCCGGGCCACCAACTAAACCATTCTGGCTACCTGGTGGCCCCCTAGCTCCCAGTACTACCCTGCAGCCAAAAGAGCTCCTGAATACCTCAAGATCCAGTAACCAACGGGCAGCTGGGGAAGTCAGTGCTCTCAGCTTCTGCCTCTCCAACAGGCGCTCAAAGCAGCAAGCTCAGGGTGAGGTCTCGTAAAGCACAGTGGACACAGGAGGGGAAAGGCTGCTCCATCTCTTGAGGCTCTAAAAAAAGCATCTCTGCCCATAAAAAGCACCTGGCTTCCCACATCTGGCACAGGTGCTTTGTGCAAGGTAGCGATTCGCACAGTCAGCAAAACCCAGAAACACAAGGAGGGGAACATGGAGCCTGGAGAGGAAAGGGGTCCTTTGCCGGCAGCCAGGAGCACGTCCCTGCTCCACACACAGGCTCCCCAGCAAAGAGACAACCTGGCCGAGGACGCAGCCCCTAACCACAAGAATGCAACAAAATGGGTGAGGAGGCACCAACCCTGCAGCCACGACATCCTGCAGTTCCCTGTCCCAGCTGCCCAAGGAGGTATCTGCACCCTGGGGCCTACTTTGTGCTCTCCCTGTAGACACAGGCACAGCGAGCAGAGCACCTCTGGCTTTCCCCAGCAGTGAAGCATTCAGGCCCAGCAGAGTTCACCAGTGTGAGAGCTCAAACAGTCCCGAGCTGAAATTGGAGGTGTCACATCCTCTACCACATGCCAGCCATGTCTGCTGACATGCCAGAGAGGCCTGGGCACAGAGCTGGGGAGAGGATGAACACCTTCCCCCCCTCCACTCCTCCTCACCCTCATCCCCTGTTCTCACTGGGGTCTGCAAAGAAACCTCACAGAGGCTCAAAACCCCTCTCTTGTGGCTGTGTCTAACAGCAAGATCGCAGATGTAGGCCCCCAGAAGAGAGGCCCCAGACTGCCCGGGGTCGCAGCAAGCGCTGCTGTCACTTTCTGGACAGGAGGGTTAAAGAAGGACCCAGGCACTGCCCCCAACATCCATCTATCCCTTGCCACATCCCCCAGCAGCCCTGTTGATGCCTGAGCACCGCAGCCACAGGTAAATGGTGGCAAAGCACAGTCCTGGGCAACCAGGAACCTGCACACAGGTGGGATGGGCACCGCTCAGGGATATGGGGTCACTTCTGAGCACTTGGAAATATTCCTCCCTTCAGGCTTATCATCCCTCATTTGTTCAGCTCAATCCATTTGCTGACATCTTTGGTGATTTCCACTTGTGATCCACCAAAATTAAAGCTTTATCCCAGCAAATTCGCTTGTCCCCAGGGAAAAAAATTACAATCTGGGATTGCATGTTTCTTCTCTGGCACTGCCAAGCCTGCAGCTCTCCCCAGCACACACAGGAAGTGCTGTGAAGCATTTTACGTGCCAGTCTGTCTCCTAGGAGCGCCCCAGGCTCACACAAAGCTTCCCCTCTCCATGTCCTTACCACAAAATGGTTTTAAGAGGCAAATGGACAGACAAAAAGGGCAGTAACAAAACACACTGTCTCTCCGTCTAAAGCAAGCAGCCTCACAGGTCTGGGTAAAAGAATCCCACGAGATCAGGGTTTTCGAATTTAAAAAAATGAAATAGAAAGCTAAAAAAAGAATCTCTGTGTGACTCCAGGACTCCAAGGCCATGAGAGTCCGCCACACTCTCCCCTCAGAGGGCTCAAAGCTCACCATCTGCAAAAATCACTCCTAACCCTCAAATCCAGCAGACTCAAGTCTGCTCCATCCTGCAGCACAAAGCGTTAGTGTAGAGCCCCAAAATCAAGTATGATCCCTCAAGGAGCTCGTCATCTCCAACACTCCACAAAGGGTATGTAGGAAAGACAGTTGTTCATCTCCTCTAGGTTGACAACCAGGCACCCACACAGTCGGAATCCACCCTTCACCCAGGAGACAGAGCAGAGCTGCAAACTAAGCGGAGAAATCCTCTGAGCACTCACGCGTGAGCCCCGGCTCTCCCAGCTGCTCCATGACTCCCACGCAGGACGGTCACTCTCTCCTGCAACATGCAAGCACCAGCGTCCTACGTGATTCAGCTGCCACGAGCCTTCGACCTTGGCAACACCGTAAAGAAAGGGGTAAAAAAAACAGTATAAAAATGTCCCAAGGAAGCAGAGCTCCACTACTAGGAAGTAACAAATTAAATTATGTGCTGGGAGAGATGATGGCAGTGGCGTTTGCAGCGGCCCCTTTCTCAACCAGCTCCCCACAGCAAGGCCCCGACTCCTTCTAACTCCCCCCGTAACAGTCAGACCCCCGGGGACTGACCTTAACCTGGTCTCCAGCAAACCTCACATCCAGCTGGTTGGCTTGGGAGTTAATGACTTTCTTTTAAAATTTAACACAGCTCCCCGTCACAAATTTCAGTTTGCCAGCCCTGGGATCTGCCTTTGGCTGGATATTCAAATCCAAACACGTGCTTAGACAGTTATTCCAGGCAAAAGGGTAACAAACACACCAGAAAACTCACGAGGTTGAAGCTGGCTTTGAAAGTAAAGAAAGTAAATCAGACTGGGAAAAATTACCTGGCCTTCCAGATGACAAGAGGATTGGAACAGAAAGGGTTTGGGCTATTTCTGGGCAATGCTGAGGACAGATTTCTGGGATTAACAAAGTCTGTCATACAAGCCTCAGCACTCTCCCAGCAGTGGGATTGCTGCAGCCCCCTCTCTCCCAGGATTGACAGCAAGCATCGAGCACAAGGCACAGCCTTGTCCCCAACACTACCTCTGCAGTCAGCACTGCGGAATCCTTCCCTGAAAAATGCCACTGAGGAGCCCAACAGAGGTGCAGACTGGCTGATTACTAAATCCTTTTTCCAATCTGGGGCCCAAGAAAGGTTTCCCCTGCTGCGAGGGCATCTTCTCTGGTCGCAGCCCAGAACCGGCACATCCTGTCGGAGCCCAAACCTGCAAGCCAGCAACACCCGCGCCCTGCCCCAGCAAATGCTCCACACTCAAATTGCACCTCCCAGCTGGGAGCAAACACTGCACTGCAAACTCACATTTTGCTCCCACTTTGGGTAACAAGCTTCTTCGGCTGATGGCTTTTCTTAATGTCTCTCTCTGCCCCTTCCCTAAAAAATTAAGAGCCTGAACACGCAGAGGGACTAACCCACAGTGATCCTTGGTGGGGAGGTGTTGCCATAAGAACTCAGGACGCCTGTGACTTAAAGCACAGCCAGT